TTTCAGACAGTTATTTTACAAATCTGAATAGCCAACTTGACAGCATTATGTTTGTTTTTTTTCAAAAAAGAGCAATATATCTGATATGTCTGAACTGGTTAACTTCTAACTTTGCACATAAAATATTGCGGATACATAATCAGTTGTGTTGTTATTAATTTCAAAATTGAGGCCCGATAGTCATTTCAGTTGTGCCAATCTATCAAAATCCACTTTTGATCTTGGATCTTTCAGGCATTCAAGCTTGGTACATATATAGCACCTTGCTTGGGTCTCAGATTCAGAGTGAGTAGTAGAGATATGACAAGATGACTAAAATCTTGGTGCTGGTTTACCTTCATTCTCATTAAAATTGCTTTAATGAGACCAATTGATGCAAATTATGTCCAGGGTGCTCTCCTGACATGATTTAATTTGTTATCCAATTATACTGTGCCTTACAAGAGAGCTGTATGTAACATTAGTTCTGATTGGTAGTTTGGCAAATTTATAGTTTTTAGGCCACCTGCATGCACATGATATTATCGTGCTGGCCCTGCTTGCTGTAATTGAAAACCTGACTAGAAGGAGGCGATCTCATTTCATCCATGGATTTGTGTGTGCTATGGCAGGAAAGGTGACTGGGGTCTCTCACTCTACAGACATGTCATGACACAGTAATACAATAATATATATTCCACTGTGAGGGAAGAGAAATTTACAACCATTGACAACTGGGAACTATTTTTAGAAAATAATCAAGGTTTACGTATGCCCTGCAGCATATCAAAGAGTAAAGCCTGTGCTTCTCTGCTCCTCTGATGAGTTATTAGTACCGGTAGGTTAGAAATGTCATTGGTTTCTTGCATGTGACTGATAGATTGTACAGGCTTTAATTACAAGACATTGGTACTTTATGTTATATTATAATCTTTACTTCAATTCTCACATCGCTTTTGTTAATCAAATTTAAAAAAAAAAAGTGCTTTCACGATCCCATTCGCCAGTTATTAAGATATAGTTGCAAGTTAAATTACTTGTTTCCCCTTATGACATGTCATTTATGACAAATCAGTGACATTGTATTACAATGTGTCAACCCAAATTCATTTTTTTTCATCAAGAATGAAATCCAGTGAACATGAAGTAATCCACAGTAACCTAGCTGCATATCACCATCTAATGAACAGAAAGTAATCCACAGTAACCTGCATATCACCATCTAGTGAACATAATGTAATCCACAGTAACCTGCACATGACCATCTAGTGAACATATTGTAATCCACAGTAACCTGCATATCACCATTTAGTGAACATAAAGTAATCCACAGTAACCTGCACATGACCATCTAGTGAACATATTGTAATCCACAGTAACCTGCATATCACCATTTAGTGAACATAAAGTAATCCACAGTAACCTGCATATGACCATCTAGTGAACATAATATAATCCACAGTAACCTGCATATCACCATCTAGTGAACATAATATAATCCACAGTAACCTGCATATCACCATCTAGTGAACATAATGTAATCCACAGTAACCTGCATATGACCATCTAGTGAACATAATGTAATCCACAGTAACCTGCATATCACCATCCAGTGAACATAAATTAATCCTTCATTAAAGAAAACTAAAATGCACCGAAGTCACAGTGCCCCCATGATTATTAAGGTGACAATTTCTTTGCTGCATAACACAAAATTTGCTTGTACTACATTTATGCAAATGATATTGTGCAAATATTGGAACACTGACACAAAATGATTCTTAAATGCTCTCTGCAAATATAAAAGTCAACAACTACTTCCTGTTAGCAGAATGTGTTCATGTTTTGAATATAATGCTGCTTAGTTTTTGAGTCTTTGTGAGTGCTGATGATTGTTTAGTTTTGTCATATTTGAATGATTCATACCATGGCAGTACAGTGAATTTCATGAGATCAGATAGCATTTCTGCAAATAATCTGAATATGCTAAGTATTCATCTATACAGTCATGGGTTTTGTCAGCATGTATGGTTACTATGGATACGGCTTTCCACCATTATCACATTTCAATGAAACTTGGTACATAGATGCTCTGTGTGGATATCTTATCAGTTTTATGTTTGAAACTGTACATATTAATGACCTGATTTGCATAATAATTAGTCTGTTTTCAGCTATTCCATCAATGTCTCAAGTTCTGATCATCTTATTTCAAAGAAACTTGGTACATATATACTCAAAGACAGTGTAATGACCTAATTTAAATACATAATAATTTACTTTTTGGCTTTCCATAAATTTGGAATCATCAATTCAAATTAACTTGATATATATGTGCCTGGGACAAAGCACAAACCTGATTAGTTTTGTGTTGAAATCCATGACATGCGTAATAAGTAACCAATTTTGCATTTGTATCTCAAAAACCAATGCAGCATTTCAGTAAGACATGATATACAAGTGCCTGGAAACAATTTTAAAGACATGACTAGTTTTGGTTGAAATTCAAGCATACTAATTGCCTAATTTGCATAATATGCATAACCATCACATTTCATTGTAATTTGGTTCATAGATGCTCTGGGGTAATCCACGATTAGTTTAATGTTAAAAAACATGGACATTGATTATCTACTTAATATTAACCAATTTCTGGTATCTCAAAAAATCAGATTTAAATTGAACTTGTCATAGAGGTGTTCTGGAATAAATTAGACTGCAAACCTCAGATGTACAATCAAATTTATTTTCTGTGAGTATTACAAACTTCAATAATATGGATCACATTGTTTTAATATTGTGAATCTCAAATAGCAGACAAATATTAGTTAATTTTTTGATTTACATGCATTTAAAGAGGTATGTTAAGGCATTTATCATTTGTTTTTTTCGGTCAAAAAAAAATATTTAAAATAAACTGGTTTTCATAAAATTCTCTACAGATCTGTATCACTAAAACTTACAGATGCACATCAATTTGTTTTGTACATGCTATGGTTTTGGGGTCAAAACGTGTCATTTTTTGGTAAAAAAAATAGGGGGAAAATGATTCCATTCAAACTGCACATACATGTATAAGTAATTCAAAATACATTAGACACAAATTCACAATCAAATTGTATTAAAAAGTGTTGCTGCCTACCTGTACACCTGATTGGAATAGCTTTCCAGTTGGGCTGGCAAACATTAAAACTACATGCCAAGGGTCTGGTAACATTTGTTGCATGTTCTACTACAATAAAATTGTAACTATTAGAGTCTAGATGAAACACTAACATCATTCAGATAACTATTGTGACTGTCTACTGCTCTTGCTGTGCTTGAAATTATTCGAAAATAATCTTTTATGCAGC